AGAGTATTCACAACTTGGAAGCAGATAGTAAGCCTGGGTATTAGATTACCTTAATTCTTCCAGATACATTGCTAGTAAGGTTGATTTTCATTGCAACCTTTTATTTGTATTTGCTGCTTTGAATGTATCTTGCAGATGTGTTCCTTTCTCTCTCCCATTCTTTAGGAATATGATGATCCATGTAACTGGGGCCCAAATGATTCATCACCAATATTTCTTTGATCCTCCAAAGGGAAACTGACATTTTAAGGACTGTTATGTCCTCTCATCAACTGGCCCAGATTAATGTTAATAAGTGCAGTATGTGGTACAACCTAGAGCAGAATTAGGTCAATGTTATGAACAGAATGAAGATTAAGGGTAAATTCAAAGGATCAAAGATCTAGAGCTGGAAGGGATCTCAGAGGCCATCTAGCCCTATCACTTCATTTCACAAACTAAGGCTCAGGAGGGTTAAATTTTTGCCCAAGGTTACCCAGATGTTAATTTTCATAGGTTAGGTTTGAATCCCAGGTCTTCTGAAACTATAGTCAGTGCTCTTTGCATTGTACCACTTAAACCTCTTCAATTGATTAGATTAAAATTCAGAGGGATATTGCCTGGGAACATAATTTTTATTTTAAGTGGTATGGGATCCAATAGATTAAATGTAGAGCTGGTTATAGAAATTCTGTCTGTCTCTGTCTCTCTTTCTGTCTGTCTCTGTCTCTGTCTCTGTCTCTGTCTGTCTCTCTGTCTCTCTGTCTCTGTCTCTCTGTCTCTATCTCTGTCTCTCTCTCTCTCTCTCTCTCTCTCCCTCCCTCCCTCCAACACACAGGTAAATAAAATCCTTAAAAGTGACAGTTTTCTCTTTTTTGAGTTAGAATGAAATGGGAGTACCAGTGCTTTCAGTAAAAAAAAATCTTTCAAAACTCTGAGGAAAATAAAATATATGTCATAAAATACTTTTCATTTTAAAGGATTTGACCAGTGGAATTAGATTAAATAAAAAAGCTGCTGTTTCCAAAATCTCTAGAGGAAAATGAGCTTTTCATATTGTAATAGAAGCAGAAAGATGCCTTTAATTTGTATTCCAAGAGTGGCAAGGATCCTCAGGATTGTGATATATTTCATTTGTAGAAAGTCAAGAATGAAAGACTGTTGGGCGAAAGGTCAAGCATCTACAGGTTGACTAGGACGAAGGAAGAGAAAGAGAGTTTTGTGTGTATGCTACCAGTGGAAAGACTAAGACAATATCCTTTCACCATTTCCAATACCAACACCAAGAAGAGAGAGAGAGAGAGAGAGAGATTGTGGTATAAATGTATATCCTTGTTAAAAAATCTCAGGTACCATTTTTGGTAGTATATGACTGTAATCCATTCTATTGCGGAGGCTGAGGTTGATGGATTACTTGAGCTTGAGAATTCCAGGTTGCAGTAGGGCGAAAGGTTATTGAGTATTCACACCATGTTGGCACCAATATTGTGAACTTTTGTTGGTGGGGTCCACTAGGATGCCTAAGGATGGGAGAACTGGCATAGGCAAGATGTGGAATAGGTAAAAATTCCTGTACTGATCAATACTGGAATTAGCCTATGAATGGCTGTTACACTTTGAGCCTTGGTGGTATAGGGAGACAGAGTCTCAAAACCAACAATTTTTTTTAAAAAAAGCTTCAAGTGTTAGAGTGAGACAAAGCATATGCTATTAAGTATGATGATGTTTTTTCTCATCTACCAGTAATCTAGAAAATTTCAAAGATAAAACTAGAATGTACATTAAAACAGGCAGTGTGTGACATTTGGACATTAAAATTGAAAGCAAATCCTTGGAGCTGTTTTTTTTTTTTTTGACGTGTATAATAAATGCAAGTTTACTTGGTAACAAAAAGAATCCTAGAAGAGGAAAACATAGACAAATTATTAACATGTGGTTTGAACATATTATTTGTATATAGGACTTGATAAAGTGAATAGACGGAACAAATAAGGAAATGTCTTCAAAAAGTATTTAATCTAAGATGATTAATACTACTGTAGACACATTTAATAAACTTTTTTTGAATAGAAGTTATGATATCTTTAGAAATTTAGAAGGGTTTTTAACAATGTAATGGAAAGATCACTTATTTAGAGTCAGAGGAATGGAGTTTCAAATCTGGAATCAGCTACTTGTGACTTTGGGCAAATTATTTAACCTCTAAGAGCCTGAATTTCTACATCTAGGAAATGAGTGAGCTTCATTATATGATCTTTATGTTCCTGACTAGTTTCCAAATCCTTTGAATTCATTCTTAATTTTATTGCCTAGCTGAGTAATTCTTCCTTCCATTCCTTTCTTTCTTTTTTTCCCTTTCTTTGGGTCAAGAGGTGAGTGGGAGATTGTAAAAGTGTTGAAATCATATTTGGGAAGAGAGGGACTTATAAGGAGACAGCAGAAGAGTAGGGCTTGAAATTGGAATTGGGGACATGAATGGGTGTGCTGCAGTATTTTCACAGACCATTCCACATAACATAGGTGATACAATGTTTGTTCCTTGGACTTTCTGTTCCCTTGTTGTGATTGGTGCCTTTAGAAAGCAATTTAATCTGCTTTGAGATTTCAAAGGTTTAATACTGATGAGAATGAAAAGTCACCCTTGACAGGAGAGTTTAGTTCTAAAACCATTTGGTCATGAAGCATATTTGGTCATGAGGCTTAGAAAAATACTCATGAGATAGATTTTTGTGTGCATTTCATATATTATTTCAGTATGGTCCAATCCTCTTCTGAAGTATACAATAGTCAATAGGGTGTATTTTTTTTTTCATAATGGATGCTATTTCATTCCAGTTAGAAATCATATAGGTATTTTTATCTGCTTTAAGATAAATCATATAAGCCTCATACTTAATTTCTTTTTGTAAGAAACAATTTTACAAAGTGTACTCACATCATGTGGATGATTTGGGGGGTTAGCATATAATCTCTTTCTATAAAAGAGCTGTAGATCAACCATGTGGATGTATTGACATTTATTTCTTCACTGTCATCTGAGCAGGCAAATTTTGGTCTCTAAACCTACCATGATAGATCATCTAATTTGAAGATAACTTATATTTTAATTTGTAGAGTCATAAAGTTATAAGATTTAGAGCTAAAAGGGACATTAGAGGTCATCTGGTCCATCCCCTCCTCCCCACCTTCATTTTATAGGGGAGGAAATAGACTTAGAGAAAGTTAAGGATTTGTTTAAGGTCACACAGCTGGTGAGAGAAGAGAACAGTGATTCAAATCCAGGTGTTCTGATTTCAAGTTCCTTCTACAACATTGCCTGAGGAAAATATAAACATTTTTTGAAGAGCTTTGTTCAGGACTTAGTACTTAGAACTCTGCCTTGGAAATCATCAGATAAATCTCTTGTATGTCTTTCCTGTAGGCTAATCTTGGAAATTTTTTTATTAATTAATTTATTTTTAGTTTTCAACATTCACTTGTACAAGATTTTGATACATATTTTTCTTGGATGCTTTGGATGTAGGAGCTTTAACTTTGTTGTCTTCTTCTAGTTGAATGTTTTGATCTTCTTTGTCACCAAAGTAAGATTTTATAGTCTGAGTTACTTTTTCCTGCTGTTTGCTCATGTTCCCAGCCAATTGCTTGACTTTTTAACTCTTTGTTAAGGCTCTGTTTCCATTGTGGAGGGTTTACTATCCCAAGCTTTGGGGGTTTTTGCAGCTGTTTTCAGAGATACTTCTAGGGACCTATAAATTTTCAGTTATTCCAAGGTGGTAAGATCAAAGGAAAGGTGTTTATTCCTTTCCTGACCTGTGTTCTGGTCTATGAGTGCCACTCTTTTTTTTTTTTTTGCTTTGGAACTGTGAGGAGGATTCCCTCTCCCCCACTGCCATAAGATCTGCCACATCAGCACTTCTCCTTGCCCTAGGACCACCACCCAGGACTACAACCCAGATCCAAACATGGGCAAAGCAAGACAATCCTGCCTCAGTGCTAACAAAGAGATCCCTGCAGTCCCCTTCTGATCAGCTTCTTTATACCCCCACCATTTGTGGGTTGAGAGCTCCAGAAGCAGCCACCTCTGCAATTGCTCAGAAACTATGTCAGGGCTGGGGCTGGATCTCCCTCCTCTCTCATCCAGGTTCGATAGACCTTTCCTACTGACCTTCTAAGTTGTCTTTGGCATTTGTGGGTTGAGAAGTCTGGAAGCCACCACTGCTGCCAGGGATTCAGTTCCTTGAGGCCTGCTCCAAGTTTGCTGGGGCCCTCTTTGCCTACTTGGTGGCCCACACTGAGCTGCATTCCTCTCCTAGCCCAGCGCAACAGACGTTTCCCATCAATCACCCAGGTTGTCCTGGGTTAGAAATTTGTTTCGCTCTGTCTTTTTGTGGGTTATGCTGCTCTAGAATTTGTTTAGGGTCATTTTTACAGTTATTTGGAGAGTTTTGCGTGAGACCTCAAACAAGTCACTGCTTTTACTCCACCATATTGGTTCTGCCTCCCAATCTTAGAAATTTTTAACACACTTTTTTGTGTTCCTTGATTTCTGCCTAAATCAGATCTGGTTGGAGCAAAAGGACAAGTTTGATACTAATTAAAGTAAAGAGTGTATATACATATACATGTGTGTATGTATGTATATATATATATATATATATATGAAATGCCTGAGAAGGAAATGCACTATCATATTAATATTCAATCTCTCCTTTTCTTCAGAAGCATAGCTATTTCACATTATACAGATCTCCAGTCTTTAATTCCATTAACTGTTTTGGTTGTAATCAATGTTTTGATTCATTCGGGAGATGTTCATTTGTTTATTCTACAAATATTTATTGAGCACATGTTAAGGGCTAGGCATTTAGTGGCATACAAAGATGAATAAGACATAACCTCTGTCATCAAGGAGCAATTCCTTATTGTGAATATTTATTTAATTCTTGTTTATTTACCAGTTTATAATCTTTTGTAAACCATCTGAATGGTCATTTCAATTACATTTATTTTTTTTCTTACAGGTTAAAGAGTGGCTTTGTTTAAACTGCCAGATGCAAAGAGCATTGGGTGGTGATCTGGCCCCAGTTCCACCAACTCCTCAGCAGAAACAGAAGGTTAGCCCTGTGGTTACAGCATCTTCTGTGACTAAGCCAGCCCCTCCATCCCAGCAGACTTCCCTGAAGAAAGATGGTACCCCTAAACCAGATCTTTCAAAGCCCCCTGAGATTAAAAAGCCTCCGCCACTCACAAAACAACCATCCATTCCAGGATCTCCTCCAGCAAAAGCCAAGCAGCCTTCCCCAAGAGAGTCTATAACCCAGCCAACTCCTCACCCAGAGGCTTCTTTCAAATCTGAAGAAGCCAAGGCACCAATGGCTGACGACAAACCCAAACAGCCAAAGATACAGAAGCCTACAGCAGATGTTGTGGCTTCCTCGTTAGCTGCAGCGAAACCTGATCTCCCAGGCTCCAAAATACAATCACAGGTTCAGGAGAAAACAGCACAGCCTCCTAAAACAGATTCTGCCAAATCAACACAAATTATCCCACCAGTGGGGGATAAAGAAGCCCCACCTGATTCTAAAGGCCCATTACGTACTCCATCTGATTCCAAACTCACTTCACAACCTGGGGTGATTTCAGAGAGTAAAAGTCAAAAACAAGTTGATCCAGTTCAAAAAAAGGAAGACCCTAAGAAAGCACAAACCAAAATGAGCCCCAAGCCAGATGCCAAGCAAATGCCAAAAGGATTGCCTACCCTCCCAGGCACAAAGCCTAGTCCCGGACAACCCACACCTATACCCCAGCAGCCCCCAAAGACTCAAGATCAGTCAAGAAGGTTCAGTCTTAATCTGGGAAGTATCACGGATGCCCCCAAATCACAGCCCACAACTCCCCAAGAGACAGTGACTGGGAAACTATTTGGATTTGGAGCATCTATCTTTAGCCAGGCATCAAATTTAATTTCCACAGCTGGCCAAGCAGGAATTCAAGCACAAGGTATGCCAGGGGCTCCAACCAAACAGCCCCCTCCTCCTCCACATCCGCCTGTATCTCAGGTACTGCCTAAGCCCACCAGTCAAACTCCACAAACAGTTCCTAAAACCACACCTGTTAAAAAGGACACAAAAACTCCAATTGCTGAAAAAACTGAGGTGCCTAAAATTGAACAGGTTGCCCCAATCAAAGGCACAGAATCAGAAAAGAAGCCCCTTCCCACAAAAGATAGCAAACTTCAACTGGTAGAACCACAAAAGGCTACTGGTGCTCTGGAATCAGAAAAGCCCACCAAGCCAAAATCTACTTGCCCCCTTTGTAAAACTGGCTTAAATGTGGGCTCTAAGGATCCTCCCAACTTTAATACTTGTACAGAATGCAAGAATGTGGTATGCAATCTCTGTGGATTTAACCCAACGCCACACTTAACTGAGGTAGGAAATGGTATTTTTTTTATTGTATGATATTTTAGTGATCAATATTATGAGATGAGAAAATTGTACTTCTGGTGAGCAAAACAAAATTAATCATGCTTTAACTATAAACTGTTTAATTGTTTATGAAATGCTACCATCATGTTAAAAAGTGGTTTGATTTACCTCCTGGTTGGCTAATATATTAGGATAAAGAAAAAAAAGAAACATGGGAAATTCACATAAAAATGGTTCCTTAATTCTTTGGAATTGTAGGTTCATGGCTTAAATAAGTATATTATTTGTTAGTTAGGTACCTATCCTATGACTATGTCAGCATTGTTGGTCTTGGGTGTCTTTTATTTAATACAAACTTCAGTTCGTGTGAGTCTATAACAATTTAAAATCCATTGTATATCAATTTTCATTTCCAAAGAAAACTCAAGAACCATGAATAACCTAATAAGGTTGGTTAAAGATGAGGATGGGGAAAAGAAAATGATCAGGTATTTTTTTTATAGTTCTTAAGTTTTGCGATCAGAAATTTTTTGTCACTAGTATTGAACTATACTTTCTAGGTACTATAAGATGCTATCTCCATCCAGAGACAGAATTGATAGATAGAAATATATACAGAATGATTTTACATGTATATATGTATATGTGTGTATGTGTGTGTATACATATGTACACACACATACACACACATATTTGTGTCTAGGGGGAGAAGGAGAGAAGAAAAAAGGGGGAAAAGTTACATAATAACTATCGTATTTTTAAAAGAAATAGCAAACTGTACATAATAGATTTGCAGTTTCATGCATAATCATCTTTTTTTCTTCTACTCTGTTATGGAAATGCTTGTTTTATTTCTTAAGTTCAGAATAAAATATATTTTTTTAAATGTAGGAAAGAAATGGAAAATTAGGCCCTGAATTGAAAAGAATTTATGGTCTTCAGTTAAAACAAGAATCATATATATATATATATATATACATATAATACATACATATTTATGAACATATAATATATATGTATACTATATTATACAAACATTAAAATTACCAAATAACATATAGGAATATGTGTAATTAGTAGTTATTTGGCAATATCTATAATGCTTGGTGTGGTATGCTGGATAGGGTTATTGAAGAGGATAGGCATGTACAAAAGGGGTGATAACATTTTTGACAACAGTGACAAAAGTTTCTACCAAGAATTCTGGACATCAAACTAATTCAACAGCTTTCAAATATTATTCAAAATGTTCTTTAGAGTCATTTTATCATTCCACTCACATATCCCTTATTTTTGGAATTTAAATCTTAATACTAGCTAGCACAATTAATAAATGATGATGTTTAATTTTTTTGTTTGCTATTCAGTATTTCATGAACTTTTTCATGTTGAAAAAGATAAACTTAAATATTATCAAGTACAAACTAAAAATAAAGTTGTGTTTATCTTACCATTTAGAGCAGCAAAAAACTTTATTACAATTTGTGTTGTTTTTGAGATTTTCACTCTTAAACAATTACACAATATTATTTTAGGATTTTCAACATTTCATTCTTTATGTAACATCTTAAGGACAATAGTATAAGGCAAGTATCTTAAATGTTTAAAAAGGGACTAATAACATTAAGGTAATAAAAATTTTAAAAATAGAAATTGTAAACACTATATTTTATGGAGAGTCAACTCTATGGACATATTTATTTTGAAAATTAAAGTATATATGGAAAATAAGGGGTCAAGTCCATTGTGAATATTCACAGACATAATTACAGTAATTCTTTGAAGAATGAAAGTGTTTGTTCTTGCCTAGGTGAAGCTTTTTAGGTATTCTGTGTTTTTAACTATTTAATTTCATGTAAAGGCTATTTCTCAAGATATAAGAATAGAAGAGTTACTTCCTGCAGGAAAATACTGAGGGAGTCTGGTGCTTTTAGAATGCTGGAAGGCTTGAAAGATATTTATTAATAAAGGTTTAACTGCAGTCCCACCTGAACACAGAGGTTTAAAATTAAAAAAAAATTTATACTTTTCATTTTCTGTATTGTCCCCAAGTCTACATGGCAGCATTTACCAAAAGTTTAACAATCATCTAGCAATGCTTTGAGTGGGAAACCACATCTGATAACCCAGAGATATTCTCTGACCAGTTGATTTGTAAAGGTGGTAACATGGCTTGCCAGGAGAACTAATTCTCTAGAATTTATGAATATATTGTAGTAAAAGTAGAATACATCTGAAATTAATTTCTCTCATCATGGCTCTTTTCAAATTGAAGAGAAATAAGGAAAACACTTACACACTTAAATTGCTTGTGCTTATTCAACCCTTTCTGCTTTTTCCCCAAAGGATTATTTCTTTCTCTGGCCACATGTATTTTGGCAGCCCAGAATTTATGATGTGGAGGGCTGAGGGTGCGTGTGTGTGTGTGTGTGTGTGTGTGTGTGTGTGTGTGTGTGTGTCTAGATAGAGAGATTTATATCTATCTGCATATCTTAATGTCTGTATCTATATGGGATGGCACATCGGCTTTTCCTTTTTCATGTGAGAAAGTTGTTTTTATATCAAAGAGTACTTCTTATGTGACCTTGGACAAGTTATTTAATATTCTTGGCCTTAAATTTCCTCAACTTTAAAATAAGAGGTTGATGAGGTTAAATGACTGATGAGATTCCTTCCAGATCTAGACTTACAGTAATGTGGTCCTGTGGCTTTCTCATCATGGTATGTATCTTAGTTTGTTGTAGATTTTGTTTGTTTTAATTTTCCATAAGCAACTTTTGAACGATAGAAATAAGATCTGATATCTGATCTGATATCATTTTATTTTTTAATTAATTCTAAGCTTCTCTTACATTTTATGAAGTTACAGCTTAGTAAGTTTGTTTTTCAGTGATGAATCCAAGACCTAGACAAGAACTCATCCCATGATGAAATTTAATTCAAGATGTGGCAAAATGATGGAATTGAGCTCCCTGAGAGTCTTAATACTTAAGCTTTTAGACTTCTCTTTTCTCTGACAATATTAAGTATGGAATAGGTAGAGGATGAATCGCAGCTGAAATATAAAAATAATTCATACTTATATTGTGTTTTAGGTTTTCCAAAGCCCTTTCCTCATAATCGACTTATGAGGTAGGTAGTATGAGCATTATTATTCTCATTTTAGAGAGAATTGAAACTAATGGTCAGAGAGATTTGAGTGAAGCATAGTGCATGTTAGAAACTGAATGTAAGTTGTCTGAATCCAAGATTACTTGTCTTTTGATTACAGTGTACTGTATCTCATGGTGAGTTTCATCTTTTTTTATAGACTAGATCTTAAATAGGAATGTAGAAATATGTGCTGTATACTAGAGCTAATCTTATGTCCTTAAATAATAATGAGAGAAATGTTTTGGCTAAAGTAGGAATCTGGAAGAACTGAACTTGTCTGGAAATCCAGAGTCACAATGGTTAATGCTGCTGTGGGCAAAATTTGAAATAAATTTGTTGTGGCAGATGTCCCTTTTTTTGTTTTTATCCCTTGGTTATGTTCTGAGGGTCGTAGCATATGGGTATAGGATAAAATGATATTGTTGACTATTCATCCTTGCTGTGAACTTAAAACTATATTTTTGTCATACCTTTGAAGATATGTTAAATAATGATTGAACAAGGCCATGAAGGGACATGTCCTATCTTTTCTATTATGAAGAATGATATTATTGACAAATAAACATTATTCACAGGAAGTCTTGGTGACCCTTGGAATTTGGCTACTGTGTGTAGGCCATTATTATCATGATTTCTGTCACAATTTCACCATTGACCACAGTCATTGAAAATGAGCTCTGGTTACAAAATTTGCCTTAAGTAGTACATAGAAAAGTGAAGTGTCATATAATGCTGGAATATTACCTTTATTTGGGCACCTGTTCATGATGTTTATTTATGTCACCTTTGTGACTCATGAAGCCATTATGGTTTCCTGTATCTTAGATTTCAATGAAATAGCATGATCTGTTTAGGTTTGAAAGGGACTTTAGAGGTTATGCACTTCAAATTCCGTATTTTCCTGATAAAGAAACTAAAACTCAATGAGGTCAAGTGACATACCCACAGTAACATAGGTACTTAAGCAAGAGAAGCATCATCTAAACCCAGGTCCTCTGATTCCAAATGCAATATTCTTTCTACTGAGTCATGTTGCCTCTCAAAGTATTGGGATTTGGACAGGATATGCTTTCTCTAATTTTCCCTTATTACCATTGCATCTTATCAAATATCATTTGTCAAATGATAACACATATGGAGAGAGAGTATGGAGAAGGAAAAAAAGTCACCTTCAACACAATTTCTGTGTGATTGTGGGAAAGTCACTTACCCTCTGCCCGTTAGACAATTTCCTAAGTTAATAATAGCTGCAGATGAATGGTCATTCTGCAGACCTTTCATCCATGGAAGGAATTTTCATACTGGGCGTTCCTCACACTGAGGACACTACAAATCCAGAACAATGAAAAAAAAAATAACACTTAGGATACTAGTAGTATAGTACTAATGACTTAAGAATGGTGCAAAACCCCTATGGATTCCTACATATTGTTTTGAAATAACATTGATTTTGATGTTGTTAGACCCTCTGATTAATTTAATACCATTTAAGAGTGGTCATGGTATTTCAGAGAATATTCCCCTCCTTCTACTGCATACTCATGAATATCTGGCCCTGTCTTAACCATATCTAAATTGTAGACAAAAGCAGGCCCTAATAACCTCTTTGGTGCCCGTTTTCTCACCTTTCCTACACTACCACTTACTGTCTCATTACTCCTCCCAATTCCCTTTAGAACAGGCACAGAGAAGATGTAGTGGGTGGTATTTTTATCTATCTGCTGTCTGAATAACACCTCGTGTGACTATGATTTGGATTCTCTTTGTAGGAATTTGCAGAAAGAATACAAGTATAATCTAAAAATACAGGTATTCTTATGACCTGTTTTGCAAGAGTCCGAAAGTCATGA